ATTCCATCCTGTGCAAATCCTCCCACCATTTGTCCTCGTGATCCTCTCTCGTCACTGAAACTGAGTGACCATTCCCAATGCCTGTACACCTTGCAACAAATTCCACACCCATCAAAACCATTTCCCCCCCCCCCCCACTCTCTGATTACGTCTACAAGGCTAGTTGTGGCACGTTCCATTCCAAAGGTTCAGCTTGTGGCGCTTGTCTGTGGAGGGAGTTCGGGGTGGCGGGGGGGGCATGGGGAGTAAAGGTTACACACACGTGGTGGAGTGTGGAGCAACAACAGCGGCACATGCACCGTGCGAAGTTGCTTGCGCCGGCCAGAGGCTTGTCGGCATTGGAGAGGCTGGCACCCCGGGGCCTTGCTGACGCATGGAAAGGGCATTTGGTCGTCTGCCGCTAGAGCCGAGCGAGGGTGAATTGGGGTCCGTTCTGCGCACCTTGAAGTATCGATTTATTTACATGGCCAATCGGTGAATCATTTCAACGTTTGTCATGTACTCCACTGTTATTGGCCACAAACAATGGGGCCCGCGAAAGTTATGGTACAGGTGGTACCTATTCTTAGTTTTCGGTAAAGTCACGTAGGTAACAAAATTAAATTAATAAAAGTAAAATAAAAATTTAATAAAAATCACGACGTTTCGGAGGCAACACAAGCTTCCGTCTTCAGGTGGAACAGTCACAGCACGATAGCTGTATCAAGTGAGAGAAATTCCAAGAAAACCGTATTTTTATATATACTGGTTGAGGGTGGGAGGAGCCAAGGTAGGCCCTGGATATTATTTTTGTGAGGTTCGGTGCGGCTGAAGCACGCTGTTAGGAATGAGCCTTTGTTGTGTAAACTAGGTGCGGATGATGGAAAGGTGCCTTTTTGTTATGTAGAGATGATGCGGCTGAAATCGCTGCCAGGAAATTAGTCTTTGTACCGACAAGCGAAATGTACAATTTGGCCTCTTGAACTAAAGTTCCCGGAGCAGCCCCATGTAAAGTTGCACCTGCACACGAAATATGTAGAACTTCTTTCGCACCGCACGTAGCCCACCGGTGCTAATCGAAGGTGCGGATGGAAGGACACGAAACAACACAAAAAGCAGTTCTATTCGAAATGAGTTCTCAATCTACATTTAAAAGTGCGCACCTACGGTGGTGTCCTAATACACTGCTCAACACACTTTTTCTGGCATAAGGTATTCCAACGGTTTTAAGGTAATTCCAAATCTGGCATCAGTTTTTGTCTATCACATCAGGTTTTTGAGATATCAAATATTGCATTTTCAATAAAAACTGCAGAAGAAAAACATTAATAAATGTGGATATCTACATAAAATGGTATTATAAACACTATCCTAAAAATACAGCACCATATTTTAACACTAAAGCAGTCACTGACTCGCAACAACTTGCAATCATAAGTGACAGAGTTAATTTCGGGTAAAATCCATGAAAATGGGGTATGCCGATAGCATAAAAATGAGATGTGATAGAGCAAATCTGAGATCAGATTTGGAATCAGCACCCTGAAATTAGTCTAAAACAGCTGCAAAAGTCCAGGCCAGAAAAACATGTTTTTTTTTTGTTGACCAGTGTTAGCAACACGCGCTGATCACGGTGACGAGCCTCCTGTCATCCACATCACCTGGTGGGGAAGCCCCACAACACCGCCCACTCACCCCCACCCCCAGTGCCACGAAATCCACCTTTTTTTTCTGCCGGCACGCACTGCGTGACTTTTCGGCGTCTCGTTTACGACAAAAAACAAGTAAACCCGTAAAAACAAAGTTTTTCACTATAAATCCTTTATACGCGTGGCATCGGGGCGGCTAGAGTCCTCTCGTCCTCTGGCTTGAGATGGCTGCCACCTATGGGTCAGACGATTGTCTGGCAGCATTAAACAATTGGTAATTAAATATTTTATAAAAAATTCCCCTAAAAAGTGTAAAATTTTGGAAATTTTTTCACGAAAATGCATTGTCATGCACAACGAGTCTGTGTGCAAAATGTCAGCTCGATTGGATCACGGGAAGTGGATTAAAAAACGACCGAAAGATTTGCACGGTCCTAAGCAAGCAAGCAAGCGAACTTAATATAAAGGATTTAAAAAAGCATTCTCTCCCATCGACGGGAGGATTTCTGTTGAAAATTCCCGTCGTTGGATTGTTACTCTTTAGTTCTTTCGCTGAAGTCACGTAGAAAGAAAATAAATTAGATAATAGAGTACGACGTTTCGATTGCAACACAAGCAGTCGTCATCAAGTAGAACTAAATTTGTGACTTTACCGAAAGACCCAAAGAATATGAATTCCTGCAGTCACGAAAGCTTTAAGTCAAGATTGAGTTTTGTTTTGTTTATCTGCGATCGACAGAATGTGTTGTTGCAGGCTTGCGCGCAGTTTCCACGAGAGCGCCATGGGTGGAACCCTGCGTGGTTTGGGGCCGTCCATAAATGACGTCACGCACCTGGGGGAGGGGGGTCAGACATTTGTGACGATGTGTGACGATGGGGGGGGGGGGGGTGAGAAATGTGACGTCACATCAAAATGCGCAACTTTAAATAAATATAGACAACACGTTCTGCTTAATTAAATAGACTTTTTGATAAATGTTTTCTCCTACAACATCAGAGTGCAGCGCTACATTAAATACGCACTACAAGGACAATAGTTGAACGCGATTTGAAGCATGTTTTATTTTTTTTGGTGGGGGGGGGGGGGGGGCAGAGCTTTGTGACGTCATATTTGAGGGGGGGGGGTGTCTGACTTTTTGTGACGCCGTGTGACGAGGCGGGGGGGGGGTCAAAAATCGTCTAAAACCGCGTGACGTCATTTATGGACGACCCCCTAGTCAATATGCACAGACAGTGCCCTACCTCGTCACGACATCACAGTGCGATTCGCGCGATCCGGTTGCAGGCAGCTTAATTCGTACCCACACACGTGCACACGCACCACGTGGTATGTTGTGTCAACACACACCACGTGGAGTGTTGTGTCAACACACCACGTGGTGTGTTGATCGTCTCCAGTGAGGTTGATGGGCACTGTACCCCAGGGTTACGGGTGGGATGAGGAGTCTGTGCACACATTTCAATCAGTTACGGGATCACGACTGTGCCCCATCCATCTCTTGGTTACTGAGCGATTAGCTTAGGGGCCGTGGGTGGCCAGCACCACGCCCGACCGTCTTTGTCTCCCCAGTGGCGATGTTTACACACCGCACCAGGTACTCATTTTGAGACTGAGTCGACCTAGGGGAGGCCCGGGACCGGTTCAGATAATCGTCATCGGTGTTGGCGGTGAGCGGGAATCGCCGGGTTCGCTCCCCCCACACCGAGATACACACACAGACACACACAGAGATACACACACAGACATACACACAGAGATACACACACAGACACACACAGAGATACACACAGAGATACACACACAGATACACACACAGACACACACAGAGATACACACACAGACACACACACAGAGATACACACACAGACGCAGAGATACACACACAGACACACACAGAGATACACACACAGATACACACAGATACACACACAGACACACACAGATACACACACACAGATACACACACAGACACACACAGATACACACACAGAGATACACACACAGAGATACACACACACAGATACACACACAGATACACACACAGACACACACAGAGATACACACACACAGATACACACACACACGCAGAGATACACACACACAGACCAGGCATACACACAGACACAGAGATACACACACAGATACACACACACATACACCGAGATACACACACACAGACACACACACCGAGATACACACACACACACACACAGAGACACACACCGAGATACACACAGACAGACACACACCGAGATACACACACTGACACACACACAGACAGACACACACACCGAGATACACACAGACAGACACACACACAGACAGACACACACCGAGATACACACACAGACACACACACAGACAGACACACACACCGAGAAACACACAGACAGACACACACACACGTACACAAGCTCCGCCTCCACTCCACGAACTGGGCGTGGCTTCACCCCACGTCCAATCCGCGCGTGTCTGGGAGGAGGCGAGAACGATGAGCAGTGGGGGGGTGGAGTGGGTGGAGGGGTGGAGGGTGGAGTGGGGAGAGAATCATCAGAGAGGACCAGCGGCGGATCGAGCGCGGGCGATGATGCCAATAACGCCGCAACGTTTCCTCGTTCCCTGTGTACGCCAGGAGGTCGAGACGGCCTCTCGCGAGCCACAGACGAGTCTCCCGTCGTCGTGAGCAGCGGGGACCAGTCCGACAGGGACATTTAACTCGACGACAGAGCCGTGGGTGCTGACGCTACGATACGCGTGCTGCTGCTGTTGTTGTTGTTCACGGCAGAGTGCGCTGTCATTTTTGTCGCTGCTGCTGCTGCCGCTGTTGTTGTTGTTTAATGGTCTCCCTGCAAGGGTTGTTGAAGCCGCCGCTGCCGCTGTTATTGCTGCTGTTGTTGCTGTTGCTGCTGCGAGGTTTGCTGAATGACAATTCGACCGTCGGCTCGACGAGGCTGTTGGTGTCATTAAGCGAGCCAGCCCGAGCCGTGCCAGGCCGAGCCTAGTCAGCAAGAGCTGAGTCAGCCCGAGCCAGCCCTTGCCGAGCCAGGCCAAGCCAGCCGGAGCCAGCCGGAGCCAGCCCGTGCCGAGCCAGGCCGACCCAACCCGTGCCGAGCCAGCCCGTGCCGAGCCAGGCCGGAGCAAACCCGAGCCAGCCCTTGCCGAGTCAGGCCGAGCCAGCCCGTGCCGAGCCAGCCCGTGCCGAGCCAGCCTGAGCCAGCCCGTGCCGAGCCAGGCCGGAGCAAACCCGAGCCAGCCCGTGCCGAGCCAGCCTGAGCCAGCCCGTGCCAAGCCAGCCCGTGCCGAGCCAGGCCGGAGCAAACCCGAGCCAGCCCGTGCCGAGCCAGCCTGAGCCAGCCCGTGCCGAGCCAGCCCGTGCCGAGCCAGCCTGAGCCAGCCCGTGCCGAGCCAGGCCGGAGCCAGCCCGTGCCGAGCCAGCCCGTGCCGAGCCAGCCCGAGCCAGCCCGTGCCGAGCCAGCTCGAGCCGAGCCAGCATGTCGTTCACGGCGGAGGATCTCAACAATGGGCAGCCGCACTGCGCGGGCAGCAAGAAGAAGAGCGGCTTCCAGATCACGAGCGTGACGACGGCCAGGGCGCACAGCAACAGCGCCGGGGACGACACGGAGGTGAGCTTCGACCTCGAGGACGACGCCTCCACGAAGACCGAGGAGCTCGGCGGCTCCTGCTCGGACATCTTCGACACGCCCGCTGCCGCCGCCTGCGCCGAGATGATTTTCCTCCCCGCGGCCGACGAGACGGAGCAGTTGGCGCCCGCCGAGCCCGGAGATCGAGGGACGCCTGGGGCGGTGGAGTCGGGCGACGGTGGCGGCGGCGGCGGCGATGTTGAGGAGGTTGAGCAGCCTGCTCCTGCCGCTACCTCGATGGTGTTCAGAGCCGATGGTGGGGCACCCGCCGTGGAGGTTGTGGTCGGTGGACACGTCGAGCAAGCGAGCTCGCAGAGCAACCAAACTTACGGTCATCATCATCATCATCAGCAGCAGCAGTCGCAGTCTCACCTGCAGCCGCAAGCCCACGCGACTCCGCACGGCTGCAATTCGCGATTCCGCGTCGTCAAGCTGGTGGAGAAGGAGCCCTTCAAGAAGGGCCGCTGGAACTGCACGGACTTCTACGAGAAGGACAAGGAGGTGGTGGTGGGCCAGGCCTCTGCCCTGGCCCACCACGACGCCTGCTCCGTCGTGTCCCGGGAGAGCGTCGCATTCTCCGGCCCGGTGCCGTCCCTCCACGCCTTCGACAGCCAAGCGTACGGGCAACAACACAACCACCAACAACACCAACAACAACAACAGCAGCAGCAGCACCACCAGCACCCCCAGCAATGCGACCCTCTCGGCGGCGAGAGCGTCCACCGGATGGGCCGGGACGTGCCGGCCGCGTCCTGCGGCCCGAGCCAGCCGGGTCTGGCCCCTCTCGCGGTGGCGCACCCGGCACTGCCGGGTTTCCCTCAGGGCTACTACGAAGCTGCCGCACCAGCGCCCAGCCAGGTGGCCGGCGGCGGCGGCGGCAACACGCTACCTGCGGGCAACGGGGGCGGTGGGTTCTTTGAGCAGCAGCAGCAGTTGGGCGTGCCGGGTGCTCTTCCGGGCATAGGTTGGGCTCCGGACAATCTGCAGAGCGTGACAGCCTCGAACGTGGGCAGCGATGCTCTGTTGCAGGCTGGCCAGCAACAGCAACAGCAGCAGCAACAGCAACAGCAGCAGCCGTTGCAAGTTCCGCAGCAGGGCTATGGGATCTGCCTCGTGGAGGAAGGGACTGACAACCCTCAGCTTCAGCAGGCCCTTGGATTCCACGGCGGTCTCTTAGATCAGCAGATGGAGCAGCAGCAGCAGCAGCAGATGCCCTCCTTCGGCGTTCAGATGCAGCCGCCGCAGCTGCCGCCACAAGCGCCGTTACCGAATTTGTCCGAACTGCAGATGAGGGCCAATTCTCCGCATCCGCCGGTGCTTCTACAGCAGCAGCAGCAGCAGGCCTGGCAGCAAAGAATGCCGCCGCATCCTCAAACAGCGGACGGCAATTTCCTCCAGCATTCGCTGGCGTCGTCGGCGGTCCACAAGCCGGCGTCGCCGATCGCGGCCGGGTTCCCCGCGGTGCCGAAGAGCCCCCCGAGCGCCGTCACGCAGCAGCTCAACTCCGTGCTGGCGCAGATGCACTCGTCGCAGGGCCAGCAGCAGTTCATGGCGCAGAACCCTCACCTGCGGCCGCTGGGCACCGCGCCGCAAGCCGGCCCGGACCCCCCCCAGCAGCTTGCGCCGATGTTTCAGCAGCAGAGCGGTCAGAGCGCCGCGGGGAGGGCGGTCAACGCCCACGTTCTCGCGCAGCCTCCGCCGGTGGCCCTGGGCTTCGACAACATCGTGTCGAACGTCCACTCCGGCGAACCCGCCGGCGTCACGTCTCCGCTGCCCGTCGCCCTCGCCCAGACGTTCAACGTCGGCTTCGCGGACGCGGCGCAGATGGACGCCGCGCTGTTTCCGCCGCCGCCGCTGCTGCTGCCGGCGGGAGCCGCGGGCGCCGGTCGGTACCTCCTGGGATCGGCCGGCGTCGTGCCGCGGCTGGACGGCCACCAGCAGCAGCAGCAGCAGGCGTTCGCGGAGCCGTCAACCGCTGGCGGAGGAGCGGACGGTGCGGCGGTGGCGGTGGCGATGCCCTCCTCTGGTGTGGCTCAAGGTGCGGTGGGCACGGCTGAAGACGACAGGTGAGCGCGGAATGTCTCGCCCGGTGGTTTCGGTTTTGTGGTTTGGAGCCGGCACTACGTACGGTAGTGCAAAATAAGTTTAACATACATACACAGAGACCTACAGACACACAGACCCGTAGACTCACAGAGACCTCTAGAGATACCCATAGAGACACCCACAGAGACCCACAGACTCACACAGAGACCCACAGACTCACACAGAGACCCACAGACTCACACAGAGACCCACAGACTCACACAGAGACCCACAGACTCACACAGAGACCCACAGACTCACATAGAGACCCACAGACTCACACAGAGACCCACAGCCTCACATAGAGACCCACAGACTCACACAGAGACCCACAGACTCACACAGAGACCCACAGACTCACACAGAGACCCACAGACTCACACAGAGACCCACAGACTCACACAGAGACCCACAGACTCACTCAGAGACCCACAGACTCACACAGAGACCCACAGACTCACATAGAGACCCACAGACTCACTCAGAGACCCGCAGCCTCACACAGAGACCCACACACTCACACAGAGACCCACAGACTCACAGACTCACACAGAGACCCACAGACTCACACAGAGACCCACAGACTCACACAGAGACCCAAAGACTCACACAGAGACCCACAGACTCACACAGAGACCCACAGACCCACACAGAGACGCAAAGACTCACACAGACCCAAAGACTCACACAGACCCACAGACTCACACAGAGACCCACAGACTCACACAGAGACCCATAGACTCACACAGAGATCCACAGACTCACACAGAGACCCAAAGACTCACACAGAGACCCACAGACTCACACAGAGACCCACAGACTCACACAGAGACGCAAAGACTCACACAGACCCAAAGACTCACACAGACCCAAAGACTCGCATAGAGACCCACAGACTCACACAGAGACCCACAGCCTCACACAGAGACCCACACACTCACACAGAGACCCACAGACTCACAGACTCACACAGAGACCCACAGACTCACACAGAGACCCACAGACTCACACAGAGACCCACAGACTCACACAGAGACCCAAAGACTCACACAGACCAATAGACTCACAGAGAGACCCACAGACTCACACAGAGACCCATAGACTCACACAGAGATCCACAGACTCACACAGAGACCCAAAGACTCACACAGAGACCCACAGACTCACACAGAGACCCACAGACTCACACAGAGACGCAAAGACTCACACAGACCCAAAGACTCACACAGACCCAAAGACTCACATAGAGACCCACAGACTCACACAGAGACCCACAGCCTCACACAGAGACCCACACACTCACACAGAGACCCACAGACTCACAGACTCACACAGAGACCCACAGACTCACACAGAGACCCACAGCCTCACACAGAGACCCACACACTCACACAGAGACCCACAGACTCACAGACTCACACAGAGACCCACAGACTCACACAGAGACCCACAGACTCACACAGAGACCCACAGACTCACACAGAGACCCATAGACTCACACAGACCAATAGACTCACAGAGAGACCCACAGACTCACACAAAGACCCATAGTTTTTTGTCCTTCCCACACACCTCTGATTAGCGCGGTTCAGCTACGTACGGTGCGATCGAAGTTGAAAATACGTACATGCATCATGTCAGGTGGGGCAATGCACCCACATTTTTCCCCCTCTAAATACAAATTCTGGAGCATGGATGAAGAAAGCCGGTTCAACGTTTGGCACGTACGCACTTACACAAGCACGTACGCACGCACTTACACAAGCACGTACGCACGCACTTACGCACGTACGTACGCACGCACTTTCACAAGCACGTACGCACGCACTTTCACAAGCACGTACGCACGCACTTACACAAGCACGTACGCACGCACTTTCACAAGCACGCACGCACGCACTTACACAAGCACGTACGCACGCACTTACACAAGCACGTACGCACACACTTACACAAGCACGCACGCACACACTTACACAAGCACGTACGCACGCACTTTCACAAGCACGCACGCACGCACTTACACAAGCACGTACGCACGCACTTACACAAGCACGTACGCACACACTTACACAAGCACGCACGCACGCACTTACACAAGCACGCACGCACGCACTTACACAAGCACGTACGCACGCACTTTCACAAGCACGCACGCACGCACTTACACAAGCACGCACGCACGCACTTACACAAGCACGCACGCACACACTTTCACAAGCACGCACGCACGCACTTACACAAGCACGTACGCACGCACTTACACAAGCACGTACGCACACACTTTCACAAGCACGTACGCACGCACTTACACAAGCACGTACGCACGCACTTACACAAGCACGTACGCACGCACTTACACAAGCACGTACGCACGCACTTTCACAAGCACGCACGCACGCACTTACACAAGCACGTACGCGCGCACTTACACAAGCACGCACGCACTTACGCCATGATATCTCTCAAACGTTTCTCCCTCGTCGAGGAAGGTGGTCAACGTGATCTCCCCGTGAAATCACACGCGCGGCCCGAATCGGTTGAACGTCCCGAGCCGGGCTTCCCCTGCCGTCGTTGACGTCCGTGACCGGTGGTACGGACCCCCCCCCTCCCCAGCCACGAAAACCTCCCAGGGGGATCGGTGACTGAGCCGATGATCCCACACCCCCCCCCCCCGTGCCACGGATTTGAACCAACGACTCAACGACTCGCGCCGCGCTTATCCGGTGCGGCCCCCGTGCGTTGCATATCGATCGCGACCGAACGAACTTTTCCCCGTCTTGATTTGGCTCGGGATGAGCGGGGTGGCGTGACGAGGCCGGCGACCCCGAGGTCAATTCCCCAGGCGCGGCTGCCATCGGTGGCGAGTGAATCTCGACGCCCCGGTTCCTGGCTCATCGTTTTGGTTTTTTCACGAATGCCCACACGGATCGTAGCGTCCCGTCAATTAAGGCGCATGGCCAGCTTATTTTCAGCGAAATGCAGTTGAGGAATCTTGTTTTTTTTCAGTACGTGCATCTTCACCGACTAAAAGTAGAGAAAAGCATTAGGTCAAATTTTTTTTAAAATAACGTTCACATCGTTACGGGAAAAATTGTATCGTTGAGATGGTCACGTCAAAATTAACGTCGTCATAATGTACCACTAAATATCTCGTCGCGGGAACCCCAGCGGTAGCTGGCTTGCCATTTGGGCTATTCGCGATGGCAGATAAACCCCGCCAGCACGTTCTAACTCATTTATAGGGATTAGAAGCCCCAACAACGAGTGGAAAAACAAACTTTAATATTGTAGTAATTCGAAAATGCGCTAAAATCTGAACCGGGACAGGCATTGATACCGCCCGGTTGAGCAAGTGTGAACAGCAGCCAGGGGCGAGCGTGGATGGAGCAAATTTGTGCTGCTGTGTTTCCAATAAAACTGTAGGGTGTAGGGTGACATTAAAAAAACAAAACTGTGTTGAACATCTCTTGTAAGATTTTCCAGTATTTATTTTACTTGAGAAGAGGGGCTGCCCTTGTTCCATAGAATTGGCATCGTGTAAACGAACGTGTGTTTTTCAAGCGGGTTTCATCGTGTTTTTTTAATTAAAATCTTCTAATTTATTTCATGCCATCACAGAGAGCATGTTGTTTGACCGCATTTCCCGCCCCCCCTCTCACAATCTCACAATCTAACGTAACGTCATTTAGGCGAATACATTCAACGTTTAAGGGCCAAACGATGGAGCACATGTTCTTGGTTCTTTCGGTAAAGTCACGTAGAAGGGAAATAATAAAATAATAAAAATAAAACATAATAAAATCATTCTCACGACGTTTCGGCCACAACGCAAGCAGCCGTCCTCAGGTGAAGAACACCTGTTCTTTACCGAAAGAACCAAGAAGATGAATCCCATGTTCGCAATTCTGGCAGCTACCTGATGATGCTGTCGCTGTGACCACCAGCGAAACGTCCGTGCCCGATCGTTAAACGTGGATCGCTCTCCAGCAACGCACCGCTGTGCTGCAGCGGCAATAAATCGGCACGTTTGTCCGTCACGTGACAACCTTATTTAGCCGTCTGCGTCGGCTGAAGGAAGATGGCTTTGCGACGATCATTTTTACCTGCGCGATCTGACCCAAAAATCAATTGTGAACCACAAACCGTACACCGGTGTATCGCGACGTTGCCAAATCCTCTTGTTTATTGAACAAGTGCAGTTTCCACTTTTTAAAAAATAAATTGTCAAATAAATCGGTGGGGACAGGTGCGAATGCGTACGGCTGATCGAAAGACCCATGCCCTGCTGCCCAAAAAAGGATTTAAAAGAGGTTTGCGATCTTTTATCGTCGAATTTGTTTAGGGCGCAGGGCATAGGTTTTTAATCAGATATTATAATCGTCACCACCATTATCGTCAATCCTACTCCGTTATCCTCTCCAAACCATCATCGTCACTGGCGTCATCATCAGGACGATCGTCGTCATCCGTCACTGGCTGTAATTGTGTGGACGTTTATGATATTCAACTTTGGGTTTTTTCCATTCATTTCAACCGGCTGCATGCAAAATGGATCGGGCACGGCAATTTGCCACTTGCCTTTTCTAAAAATACGAGAGACTCCAGCGTACTCTGTGCCCTTCTATTAGAATTAAGATGTCCCTTTGGACAGCACAGCTGTCTAAATGTGACCGCCGCTGGTACATTAACGGTGGGGAAAAAAAAAAACCTTACTTCAGCAAAATAACGTAAAACAATAAACATCAACGTTTCTCCTAGTTCCTGTCATCCAAATTGTCCGTCGATTCAATCCCTCAATTAGAATAAAAATAATCCGATGATAATTTTTTTCCCCGAGAAATCCCACTAATTCAAATCAAGGCTTGATATTTTTCAGAATGGTCCCACATTTTGGAGGACGATTGGCCCAATTAATCAAAAGGCCGCGCAGAATCCTAAATCCACTGATCGTGAAATATCTTCCCGCTATAATAAACAC